GGGCATTTTAATCAAATTCATTTAATTTTATGATTAAAATTAAATGAAAAAAGATAATCTACCACTTTATTTATGAAAATATTGACCTGCAATCCAGTAGACTAGAGGAAGCACCATGATGCATGTGTGTTGTTGAATCAAGACCGGTTTTTGTCAAAATGTTTTTTATTGTTTGAATTTCATAATAAAATCAACAGATTTTGAGAGCTGAGACTTGTTAATTTGAAAAGTAACGAAGCACAAAGGTTATTGTGATTTATTGGATGGGAGGCGGGCTATAAAGTTTTCATTCAACAACTGAAAGCCACATAGACTAAAAGATCGATTCTTAGGATTTATGAATCGATGTCAGTTTTTTTGAGGAGTTTTTTTTTTTTTTTTTCTGGCCCATCCTCAGCAAGCATGTGGTTTTGAGTACACTTCCAAACTCCAGCGCATGTTCCAGGACATCGGGTGTCAGCAAAGACTTGAATGAGCAATTCAAAAAGCACCTTTCCAACTCTGAGCCTTTGGACTGTAAGTGCTCAACCTGGCTTTACATCGTTCCGCATGTTTGTTTGTGTTTTGAGTGTTTTTATAATATAACCTGCATGTTATTACTGATGAATAAAAATGCAAATGAAAGACTCCGGCTCCATCTGTCTCGTAGTGGATTTCAGTATCCAGGTTCTGAGCTCTGGCTCATGGCCGTTCCAGCAGTCTTGGCACATTCGCTTTACCATCTGAGGTGAGACACTCAGACGCTAACCGTGTAATTTTCTAAGCCCTTCCACGAGCTGAGAACAATGTGTGATTACACTTCCATTTGATGATAGTTTTTCAACGGCTTTGTTTTTCACAGTTGGAGCGATTACCAAAGATTTACAGCTTTTACGGAAGCAGACACAGCGGCCGGAAGTTGACGTGGCTTTACCATCTATCCAAAGGAGAGCTGGTCACCAACTGCTTCAAGAACAGATACACTCTGCAGGTTTGTTCCTTCTTCATGGCTGTATCATGCCAACGTTTGCTGGGACTCATTAAGAAGGTTTTAGGACTCAGTGTCATACACGTGTTTATGCATGGGTCCGCAGGCCTCCACCTTCCAGATGGCCATCCTGCTCCAGTTCAACACAGAGAACAGCTACACCGTCCAACAACTGGCTGACAGCACACAGATCAAAACAGTGAGTCCAGGGCCATTGCTTTAGACAAACTATAACAAGTCTTATATCAATAAATATACATTGTTTTTTCCATTACATTTTAAATTCATACTTTAATCCACTTGAATTATCAGTCTAAATATCCCTCGGAACACTTTAAAAGTAAAGTTTATTTATACAATTGTTTTATAGGTGAGCCAAGTTTTATTATTTATTAATAAAGTCTTTAAAATGTAATCTTTTTCTTCTTTTTGCTTTCACAGGATATTTTGATTCAGGTCTTACAAATCCTCTTGAAATCAAAGTTGCTGGTAAGTGTTGACAACTGGTTGCTTATAGCGGTGTTTCTCAATCATTTTCATGCGAGACTTTAGCCGTCCCGAAATTCCACCGTCCGCGAACCCACTATTTTTATAATGGGATAAATGCTACGTGGGATCTCAATATCTCAGTTTAGGAAGGGTCTAGAGACCCCATTTTTGCACTCAGGTCTAAGTCTCATAGCCCTCTATCAGAATCCAGAGTTTCAAGAAGATCAGAGAAATTCAAAAATTTGGCCCCAAAAAACTAAAAGGGGACCACTGTCGTTTTTTTTTTTTTGGGCGAAAAATTAAGTTTCTCCAATCTTCCCAAAACATTGGATTCTGATAGAGGGCCATGAGACTTAGACCGGAGTGCAAAAATGGAGGCTCTAGACCCTTCCAGAGCTGAGATATCGAAACTCAAAAATTCGGCCCGAAAAAAAACGACAGTGGTACCCCTTACGTATTTTTTTTTTTGGGCGAAAAATTAAGTTTCTCCAATCTTCCAAAACTCTGGATTCTGATAGAGGGCCATGAGACTTAGACCTGAGAGCAAAAATGGAGGCTCTAGCCCCTTCCAGAGATGAGATATCGAAATTCAAAAATTCGGCCCGAAAAAAAAACGACAGTGGTACCCCTTACGTTTTTTTTTTTTCGGGCGAAAAATTAAGTTTCTCCAATCTTCCCAAAACTCTGGATTCTCATAGAGGGCCATGAGACTTGGACCTGAGTGCAAAAATGGAAGCTCTAGCCCCTTCCAGAGCTGAGATATCGAAACTCAAAAATTCGGCCCGAAAAAAACGACAGTGGTACCCCTTACGTTTTTTTTTTTCGGGCGAAAAATTAAGTTTCTCCAATCTTCTCAAAACTCTGGATTCTGATAGAGGGCCATGAGACTTAGACCTGAGAGCAAAATGGAGCTCTAGCCCCTTCCAGAGCTGAGATATCGAAACTCAAAAATTCGGCCCGAAAAAAAAAACGACAGTGGTACCCCTTACGTTTTTTTTTCGGGGCGAAAAATTAAGTTTCTCCAATCTTCTCAAAACTCTGGATTCTGATAGAGGGCCATGAGACTTAGACCTGAGTGCAAAAATGGAGGCTTAGCCCCTCCAGAGCTGAGATATCGAAACTCAAAAATTCGGCCCGAAAAAAAAACGACAGTGGTACCCTTACGTTTTTTTTTTTTCGGCGAAAAAATTAAGTATCTCCAATCTTCGGATTCTGATAGAGGGCCATGAGACTTAGACCTGAGTGCAAAAATGGAGGCTCTAGCCCCTTCCAGAGCTGAGATATCAAAACTCAAAAATTCGGCCCGAAAAAAAAAAACGACAGTGGTACCCCTTACGTTTTTTTTTTTCGGGCGAAAAATTAAGTTTCTCCAATCTTCCCAAAACTCTGGATTCTGATAGAGGGCCATGAGACTTAGACCTGAGTGCAAAAATGGAAGCTCTAGCCCCTTCCAGAGCTGAGATATCGAAACTCAAAAAATTCGGCCCGAAAAAAAAAACGACAGTGGTACCCCTTACGTTTTTTTTTTTCGGGCGAAAAATTAAGTTTCTCCAATCTTCGGATTCTGATAGAGGGCCATGAGACTTAGACCTGAGTGCAAAAATGGAGGCTCTAGCCCCTTCCAGAGCTGAGATATCGAAACTCAAAAATTCGGCCCGAAAAAAAAACGACAGTGGTACCCCTTACGTTTTTTTTTTTTCGGGCGAAAAATTAAGTTTCTCCAATCTTCCCAAAACTCTGGATTCTGATAGAGGGCCATGAGACTTAGACCTGAGTGCAAAAATGGAGCTCTAGCCCCTTCCAGAGCTGAGATATCGAAACTCAAAAATTCGGCCCGAAAAAAAACGACAGTGGTACCCCTTACGTTTTTTTTTTTTGGGCGAAAAATTAAGTTTCTCCAATCTTCTCAAAACTCTGGATTCTGATAGAGGGCCATGAGACTTAGACCTGAGTGCAAAAATGGAGGCTCTAGCCCCTTCCAGAGCTGAGATATCGAAACTCAAAAATTCGGCCCGAAAAAAACGACAGTGGTACCCCTTACGTTTTTTTTTTTTTCGGGCGAAAAATTAAGTTTCTCCAATCTTCTCAAACTCTGGATTCTGATAGAGGGCCATGAGACTTAGACCTGAGTGCAAAAATGGAGGCTCTAGCCCCTTCCAGAGCTGAGATATCGAAACTCAAAAATTCGGCCCGAAAAAAAAACGACAGTGGTACCCCTTACGTTTTTTTTTTTCGGGCGAAAAATTAAGTTTCTCCAATCTTCTCCAAAACTCTGGATTCTGATAGAGGCCATGAGACTTAGACCTGAGTGCAAAAATGGAGGCTCTAGCCCCTTCCAGAGCTGAGATATCGAAATCTCAAAAATTCGGCCGAAAAAAAAAACGACAGTGGTACCCCTTACGTTTTTTTTTTTCGGGCGAAAATTAAGTTTCTCCAATCTTCTGGATTCTGATAGAGGGCCATGAGACTTAGACCTGAGTGCAAAAATGGAGGCTCTAGCCCCTTCCAGAGCTGAGATATCGAAACTCAAAAATTCGGCCCGAAAAAAAAACGACAGTGGTACCCCTTTTTTTTTTCCTTAAAATTAAGTTTCTCCAATCTTCCCCAAACTCTGGATTCTGATAGAGGGCCATGAGACTTAGACCTGAGTGCAAAAATGGAACTCTAGCCCCTTCCAGAGCTGAGATATCAAAACTAAAAAATTTGGCCCGAAAAGAAAAAAACTACAGTGGTACCCCTTATGTTTTTTTTTTTTTGTCGGGCGAAAAATTAAGTTTCTCCAATCTTCTCAAAACTCTGGATTCTGATAGAGGGCCATGAGACTTAGACCTGAGTGCAAAAATGGAGGCGCTAGCCCCTTCCAGAGCTGAGATATCGAAACTCAGGTCTAAGTCTCATGGCCCTCTATCAGAATCCAGAGTTTTGAGAAGATTGAAGAAACTTAATTTTTCGCCCGAAAAAAAAAAAAAACGTAAGGGTGTCGTTTTTTTTTTTTCGGGCCGAATTTTTGAGTTTCGATATCTCAGCTCTGGAAGGGACTAGAGCCTCCATTTTTGCACTCAGGTCTAAGTCTCATGGCCCTCTATCAGAATCCAGAGTTTTGAGAAGATTGGAGAAACTTAATTTTTCGCCTGAAAAAAAAAAACGTAAGGGGTACCACTGTCGTGTTTTTTTTTTCGGGCCAAATTTTTGAGTTTCGATATCTCAGCTCTGGAAGGGGAGAGCCTCCATTTTTGCACTCAGGTCTAAGTCTCATGGCCCTCTATCAGAATCCAGAGTTTTGAGAAGATTGGAGAAACTTAATTTTTCGCCCAAAAAAAAAAAACGTAAGGGGTACCACTGTCGTTTTTTTTTTCGGGCCGAATTTTTGAGTTTCGATATCTCAGCTCTGGAAGGGGCTAGAGCCTCCATTTTTGCACTCAGGTCTAAGTCTCATGGCCCTCTATCAGAATTCTGGAAGATTGGAGAAACTTAATTTTTCGCCCAAAAAAAAACGTAAGGGGTACCACTGTCGTTTTTTTTTCGGGCCGAATTTTTGAGTTTCGATATCTCAGCTCTGGAAGGGGCTAGAGCCTCCATTTTTGCACTCAGGTCTAAGTCTCATGGCCCTCTATCAGAATTTGGGAAGATTGGAGAAACTTAATTTTTCGCCCAAAAAAAAAACGTAAGGGGTACCACTGTCGTTTTTTTTTCGGGCCGAATTTTTGAGTTTCGATATCTCAGCTCTGGAAGGGCTAGAGCCTCCATTTTTGCACTCAGGTCTAAGTCTCATGGCCCTCTATCAGAATTTGGGAAGATTGGAGAAACTTAATTTTTCGCCCAAAAAAAAAAAACGTAAGGGTACCACTGTCGTTTTTTTTTTTCGGGCCGAATTTTTGAGTTTCGATATCTCAGCTCTGGAAGGGGCTAGAGCCTCCATTTTTGCACTCAGGTCTAAGTCTCATGGCCCTCTATCAGAATTGGGAAGATTGGAGAAACTTAATTTTTCGCCCAAAAAAAAAAAACGTAAGGGGTACCACTGTCGTTTTTTTTTCGGGCCGAATTTTTGAGTTTCGATATCTCAGCTCTGGAAGGGGCTAGAGCCTCCATTTTTGCACTCAGGTCTAAGTCTCATGGCCCTCTATCAGAAATTGGGAAGATTGGAGAAACTTAATTTTTCGCCCAAAAAAAAAAACGTAAGGGGTACCACTGTCGTTTTTTTTTTCGGGCCGAATTTTTGAGTTTCGATATCTCAGCTCTGGAAGGGGCTAGAGCCTCCATTTTTGCACTCAGGTCTAAGTCTCATGGCCCTCTATCCGAATTTGGGAAGATTGGAGAAACTTAATTTTTCGCCCAAAAAAAAAACGTAAGGGGTACCACTGTCGTTTTTTTTCGGCCGAATTTTTGAGTTTCGATATCTCAGCTCTGGAAGGGGCTAGAGCCTCCATTTTTGCACTCAGGTCTAAGTCTCATGGCCCTCTATCAGAATTTGGAAGATTGGAGAAACTTAATTTTTCGCCAAAAAAAAAAACGTAAGGGGTACCACTCGTTTTTTTTTCGGGCCGAATTTTTGAGTTTCGATATCTCAGCTCTGGAAGGGGCTAGAGCCTCCATTTTTGCACTCAGGTCTAAGTCTCATGGCCCTCTATCAGAATTTGGAAGATTGGAGAAACTTAATTTTTCGCCCAAAAAAAAACGTAAGGGGTACCACTGTCGTTTTTTTTTTCGGGCCGAATTTTTGAGTTTCGATATCTCAGCTCTGGAAGGGCTAGAGCCTCCATTTTTGCACTCAGGTCTAAGTCTCATGGCCCTCTATCAGAATTTGGGAAGATTGGAGAAACTTAATTTTTCGCCCAAAAAAAAAACGTAAGGGGTACCACTGTCGTTTTTTTTTCGGGCCGAATTTTTGAGTTTCGATATCTCAGCTCTGGAAGGGGCTAGAGCCTCCATTTTTGCACTCAGGTCTAAGTCTCATGGCCCTCTATCAGAATTTGGGAAGATTGGAGAAACTTAATTTTTCGCCCAAAAAAAAAACGTAAGGGGTACCACTGTC